CAGCCCTTCCGCTAGCAGAGACACCAGGGTAAATTGGCTCCACTCAAAGAGATATTACAATAACACTAGAGAACAAAGTACCGCCACATTATACACTACATTACGGTGGTAGGAAATATCGAAAGAAACAGGAAATTATATTGTATCGTATCATCGCCATCCCTGCCAGATTTCGGTTCGTTTACTGTCGCGGTGGTCCTGTCACAACTCCTTCCCACCCCCTAGATTTGATATAATCCAAAGTTCTTTCAAAATGGCGTCTAGGGTTCTCCAGACCCGAACTCGGCGCCCCCTCGGTCTGGTTCGACTGAAGATTAGAATATATAAGTTCTATAAGGCCATTGAGGTATTTCGTCGTCACTGTTTCGTTTTGCTGGTCGAAATAGTAAACGTAACGGTTGAGTATCTCAATGAAAAGTTCAACTGATACAGCCGTGTCCATGCAAGCATCCGCGACACGCAGTGCTCGTTGAAGACATTCAAGAACACGTTTACCATCACGATAAACCTATGTCGGAAAAGCAAAGATTAATATAAATAGCCTGCAGGCAATCTGAGACATGAGTGATAGACTTACGATATTGGGCTCGTCTCCCTCTTTTTGCGGGCTTTCAACAACCCACCAGAGATGGCTTGCCAAGTAAACGGCACGGCACTGGTCTGGCTTCTTAAGAAGCTTGCTACCATGAAGAGCAGCCTTGGTGATGAGAGTATCGTAATTTTCTCTTCCAAAATTCCTGGACCCATGCAGTGCGCTCGAAATGATACAAACAGCTTGGAACTGCGCTCTCGAATCGCTAATCGAATCTTCGTAGACTGTGAACGCCTGTGCGAAAAATTCATAGCTAACTTCTTCAAATCCAGTTTCATCTGCCACTTGTCCACAAAGAACAAAGAGACGTAGTGCAAGGTCGGCACACCCAGAGTTTACCCGTTGGTACAAATTACTGACACATTGGTGCATAAACCGAAAGAGCGCAGATGACTGAGACTGCCAATTGTCGTCAAAGTGTTCACGAGACTTATACTTGCGGGCGAGTTTTATAGACGACGTTATTATTGACGGAGTAGTATAG